CTGCTGCTGCTGATGTCTAAGTTTACCCCACCAACTGCTGCTGCTGATGTCTAAGTTTACCCCACCAACTGCTGCTGCTGATGTCTAAGTTTACCCCACCAACTGCTGCTGCTGATGTCTAAGTTTACCCCACCAACTGCTGCTGCTGATGTCTAAGTTTACCCCACCAACTGCTGCTGCTGATGTCTAAGTTTTCCCCACCAACTGCTGCTGCTGATGTCTAAGTTTACCCCACCAACGACAACTCTAAACTAAAATTGAATAACTTGAATATGAAAATTAATTTCCAGAATCGAATTGCAGTGTTGAAATCTCACCACTTCATTTTTATTTTTTTTCATATCAAACTACAGAATTCGGCTTTCAATTTTCATGCAATTTGTTCGTGATAAATAATAAAATAATGTGGCCGCCTAAATTGGGTTGTGTACCGGGTTGCCTGCGGATGGGAGAAAATGTGCAAGTGTTGGAATCGAACGAAACTTGGCATTAAATAACAAAACTTTCCAAAAATATCCGAACCAACTCATTCCTTGCAATGAAAAGGAGAACAAGAAAATTGTTAACGTCGATACCGACTAATTTGGATTGAGTGTGCGGAAGTTTTCATCTAAACCCATATTGATATTCTGCAGGTTTTCCTTGATGGTAATCCCACAACACTGGTTTCGGATACATCATAATGATTTATGTTATTGAAATTCTTTGGTTTGGTGGCAATATCCGAATGAAAGGCTGGAGAGCGCATTGAAAATTCATTAGTTTTTGTCCGGGCCACAAGTCAAGTTTGTTTTTGTATACATAATTCAATAAAAATATAATGACTACAGTTATGTTGAGATACGAGAAAAATGAATTCATTTCATTCCACGTGGGACTACAGAGCAATACCATCACTTGTTTGATTCAACGAGCAATCAAGAACCACACAACTTGGCACAAACTAATTTGAGTTTCAAGAACTTTTTATTTCTAATGACGACCTTTGATGATGGATATCAAACTCGTCTAAGCCGAGGTCAATTCAAACGTCCGAATAATCGATTAAGAATGCGGAACTGACGGCTACTTGAGCTCTAACATTCGTATTTTATTTGAACAAGTCTCAGCACCAACGAAGTTAAATGCTACATACAGTATGTGTATGCCCAATCTCAAAATCTAACGAAGTAAACTTTCACCGGACTTCTACAGCACTGCAATGAATGAATCGCTATTTTCTCACTTTCAGTTATATATTGCAAATAAAATTATTAGCTTGCTTCTATGTGTATAATTAATTCTGAACAAAGGAAATTTTCTTACCAGAAATGGTGACCGTCGTGCTAATTTTGTTTATTTTATTAAAAACAATACGAGAGATGCTCTGGTCGTAAATTATGCATAGAAAAACAAAGGACTGATGTTAATTTTCGGAAGTAAATGGTACCTCTGTCGTTGCACTGGATATTGTGCGTGTTCAATGACACGTTGATCGGGCAAGGCATGTTAAGCCGGGTAGTATGTCAACTAAACTTTAGGTCAACTTTTGTTCTTTTCAATCTTAAGCAGCACGCGTCGCTCACTACTCAACCCTGGTGGTGCTACACCTGCCACGAGTAACGCGATGTGGCAAATTAAGGCTTGGTTGCGTAGAAGTTATTCCAATAAATAATACATACTATGTTATTTTCGAAGAAGTAAGCAATGTGGATAGGCAAAGAAAATATATAATCGGAATTCAAGTTAAAGGGGATAATCCATGACAGCTTTTTAAAAGATTGCACACATCTTAATCACAGATGAATCTTTCCAGCTGTGCGAGCCACAATCAAATTTGGTAATTTTTTCAGCTAAAAAAGTACATTCTCTGTAAATAGTTATTTAAGATCAAAGTTAAAATATTTAAGATTGTCAAATGTACCACATGAATTGTTTAGTCACTGATCAGATGCTTGAAATCTGAATTAAAGATAATGGATCGTCGGTTGCCTGACATAAATTTTGGAAGCATGCTATGCTTACAGACAAATTAGCTATTTACAAGTAACGACTGACATCAAAATCCTTCCAAAAAAATTCGACAGCAGTTACTCATGTTAAAATTCGTTGCCATAAGGAGATACTGAATATAGTTCCGACAATAGAGCACAGGGTAATTAGGAAGTCATTTAGTTTATAAGCTCGAAGCAAAACTCAAGTTTAGTTTGAACTGACTATCACTGGCGTTTGAACCTATCCTTATAAAAATATTTACAAGTGTAATTACTTTTATATAACGATCAGTACAAACACCAATAACAACTCGTCTGATGCATAGCTGAACTTCAGGTCGACCTGCATGCACATGCACCATCGTCTATCCTGAACGAACAATGAAAGATTTGATATGAATGATGTATTTTTAGAGCATACCTTAATGTATGTACAAAGTGTTTTCAACTCATAATATAAACATAGACCAAAGGTTGAGAAACAAAAAACCAAAACGTGCATTAATAAAGAAATGACCAATAATGCTTGGCT